AAGCAAGAAGAAGACGACCCTGACTTTGTCATTGCTCGAGCCGCAGGGCCGGAGGATCCACAACTCACACTGGGCTTTCAAGAGTTGCGTCGCCTAAAGCGCAACGAGAAGGATCGCTTGCGACGTGCTGAACGATCTCCGTTTCAACAAGATGCTGAGCGAGCGCATCGCGCTGCGCTGGAGGCCCAGCGTCGTTCGAGAATGACTGCCGAGAGACTACTGGATGAACGATATCGTCGCAGTGAATCGGAAGCTGAGCGGCGCCGAAGGTTGACGGAACAGCAGCAAGACGAAGAACGACGTCGCCACAGTGTGCTGGAAGCAGAGCGCCGCGGGAGGTTGACGGAAGAACAGCAGGAGGAAGCGCGTCGACGCCATGCTGAGTTGGAAGCTGAACGTCTCGCCAGGATGACGGAAGAACAACAAGAGGAGATGTGACAGCGCCAGTCCCAACGGCAAATGGAGAGGACAGAAAACGAAGTCGAGGAGACGCTGGAACAGCGACGCGTTCAACGGCGAACCAAGCGCTACAAGGACGCCCTCGCCAACCAAGACGAGTTTGAAGTCTCGAGAGTTTCGGGGAAGAATGTCATCGCAGGAAGACACAAACTACCAGAGCCAACTTCCGTTTGCTCGAAGTGTCGAGCATGGAAGTGGCCGGGCGAGTCTTCGATCACATGCTGCATTGACGGCAAGGTCGCTCTTCCACCACTCCAGCCTGCCCCGGCCATTCTACGCAAGTGGTACCAAGATGAAAAGTTTCGGAAACAGATACGCATGTACAATCAAGTGGTTGCATTTACGTCGCTTGGTGCATCTTTCAGCAATCCCCGCTTCGACCCAGTAGCGGAAGATCAAAGTGTCCAAAGGCAGAGAGGCGTGTATACATACCGTATCCAAGGAGCGATGAGCCATTTCTTGGGATCTTTGTTACCATATACGGATCAAGCCGGTCAGACAATGAAGCCCAAGTTTGCGCAGATTTACGTGTACGATCCAGATGTGGAAGCACGAGTGGCTCGCCGACAGGGGATTTTTTGTGGCCTCAACAGAGTCGCGCTGTTGGACTTGGAGCACATGATGGAGACGTGCAACCCGTTTGTGCGCGAGTTCCTTACGATGGGTCAGCGGATGAGAAGCATGATCGAAGCCGGCGACAACCCCGTCAACGTCGTGTTTCGCCTGCGTGCCAACAACTATGCGGGACCTCGCACGCACAATCTCCCCACGGCCACGGAGGTTGCTGCTGTGTTGGTTGATGACGGCAACGCGGCGAATAACCGAGACTTGCTTCTCTTCCCACGGTCAGGTGGGCTTTTGCGACTGTTCGAAACCCATTTGATCTACGATTCACTTCAATGTCCTCTCTTGCTCCCTCTCGGGGAACTGGGTTGGACGTACACGGATGAGTACACGAACGGCGCTACGTATCGGAACAAGATGCGAATGGCGCTTCGCGAACATGTTGTGTACCGACTCTACCAGAGGGAAAACGACCAGTCGGTTCTCCACCAATGCGGGCGACTGTTCCAACAGTGGGTGGTTGACCAACGTGCCAAGTGCGAACAGGAGAGTCTGCGCTGGGTCGCGGCAAACCAGAAGACACTTCGAGCTGATCTTTACAAGGGAGTTCTGGATGCGTACCTGCATGAGGGCATGGTTGCATTAGGCGAAAACGAAGGCTTAGTGTCGGAATACGATCGTGACACAGGCATGTTAGTGCATCCAGAGCCAAGCCGCCGCCGTCACTTCCTTGATCAAGTCGGACAGCGCATCGTACTTCCAGCGTCGTTCTCGGGTGGTGAGAGATACATGTACTCATCAGGACTCCATGGCGATGGTGCGCGAGTTTGGCAAGCTGGATTTGTTCATGACTGTGACGTGCAACCCTCAATGGGATGAAATCACAAAGACGATAGACAGAAACAGACCACACCAAACTGCTCAAGATAGGCCAGATATTGTCGCACGTGTGTGGCAACAGAAGCTCAAAGCAGTGTTGAAGGATCTCGATGATGGGGTGTTTGGGCAGCAAATCGCGCGAATCTATGTGGTCGAGTTTCAGAAGCGTGGACTGCCGCACGCTCACATACTCATTATTCTCGCCCATGAAGACAAACCCAGGACTCGCCATGACTTTGACAAGTTTGTGTCCGCGGATCTTCCAGATGCCGTGAAGAACAGTGATCTGTACAACACAGTTTTGACCAGCATGATGCACGGGCCGTGTGGAGCCCTAAACCCCAGCTCTCTGTGTATGAAGGACGGCGAGTGCACCAAAGGTTTCCCGAAGGCACTGTCCGAGGTGACACAAACCAACCAGAATGGGTTTCCTGTCTACAGAAGACGCCTGCGAACGGACGGCGTGCTCAAGTTCAAGTTCAAGAAATATGACAATGCGACAGTCAATCAATGGGTTGTTGCGTACAATCCATTCTTCTCTCAGAAATACGATTGCCACATCAACGTTGAGGTGTGCTCGAGCATCACGGCGATCAAGTACCTGTACAAGTACGTCTACAAAGGCGCTGATATGACGGAAATCAGTGCGCGGGCAGTTGGAGATGACGTGAGGGAATCTGAACACCCTCGACGTGAGCCGAATGAGATCATCCGGTACGTAAAGGCACGCTACATTTCACCAGTGGAGGCTTGCCAGCATTTACTCGAGTACCCAATTCAAGGCAAGACGCACACGGTTGTCACGCTCGGCATCCACCTTCCCAACAGCCAGTTCGTAACTTACGCTGGAACCGCTGATCCACAGCAAGTCTTGGATAATGCTCGCCATACGAAGCTCACGAGGTTCTTTGAATTTGCCAAAAGCAACGCCGAAGCGAAGGACATGTTGTACCAAGACATACCGATGCTGTTTCGCTGGGACAGCAAGGACAAGCAATGGATCAGATACAAAAACCAGCGACGCACCATTGGGAGGATGGTGCATTGCTCTCCGCGTGATCACGAGCGTTTCTACTTGCGTGTGCTGTTGTGCCACATACCTGGCCCGGAGTCTTTCGAAGACCTGCGCACCATTCGCGGTGAACTATGCCCGACGTTCAAGGAAGCAGCCATGCGAGCAGGCTACCTTGAGAGCGATCGCGAATAGGTTGCGTGTCTGGAAGAAGCCTCGCTCTTTCAGATGCCGTACCAGCTTCGTCAACTCTTCGCTACGATTCTGCTGTATTCCATGCCAGCAGATACGAAGGATCTCTGGGAGAAATTCTACGACAAATTGGCTCGTGATTACGAGTACCAGTACCGCGAGCGGACCAACAAATAACAAATGGTAAAGTTCAAGACCCTTCACAGCCTCCACGAGTTCATTACGGCAGGTGGTATGGCTCTGTCAGACTTTGACGACCTCCCGCAGCTTTCCGAGTACCCACACTTGGTCTTGGACTCGCTGCTTGAGAACAACCATATCCGCCGCGAATTGGACACGAAGGACTTCCCATTTCGACTTCGGCGCAAACAGTTCCCCATTGTCCCAGCCTTCGCGATGACCATCAACAAGGCGCAAGGGCAAACTGTTCACAACCTGGGATTATATCTACCAACGCCATGCTTCTCGCACGGCCAACTGTACGTGGCACTATCGCGAGTCACAGCAAGATCCAACATCAAGGCGCTTATTGAGGGACTTGACGACGATGAGGAAGACGGAGTGTACACGAAGAATATCATGTATCGCCAGATATTTGAATAAGTTGCATTCTATATTTGAATAAGTTGCATTCTTTAATATTGTCAATTGAGCGTCTCATAAAAATGCATATAACCTCACAAAAATAAACATAAAACATATTCTTAGGTTTTTTCGGTAAAGTCACGTAGGTAAAACATTAAAATTAATAAAAGTAAAATAAAATAAAAATCACGACGTTTCGGAGGCAACACAAGCTTCCGTCTTCAGGTGGAACCATCACAGCCACGACAGCTGTATCAAGTAAATGAGAGATTGCAAGAGCTACCACTCCGTATATATAATGGTTGGAGAGGGGGGAAGGGCCAAGTACGGCACACTTTTTATTCATATGGTAAGGTGAGGCTTAAGAGGGTGAGCCTTTGTTATGGAGAGGTACGGTTTGTGACTAAGCCTGGCCTACATAACAATAGTGTGAAAAAAGAAACAACTAAACATGGTAAAACAAGCCTGGCTGTCTATCAATAACCTGTAATAGTTGTCTGTCAAATAAGATTGGCCAAATAAGTGTAGTTAAATCTTTTTTGCATGGTTAATCACATCTTTCCAATGATTACTCAGTTTGTAACCATCATCACGGTTGAAATTATGTCTGTGTTTGTATATTTGAACCTTGGTCTCGGAAAAGACAATTTCATGAGAGCCCACAGAGTTGTAGCAATGATCGGCATCGGCCGAAGAATCAGTTCTGCCGTGTTTCAGATCTGACTTGTGCTCGCGGACACGATCAGAAACATGACGTTTCGTTTCTCCAATGTATCAATCACCACAAATGCAACTCAATTTGTAGACTCCAGGATACTGTAAGTCAGGAACGACATCCTTCAGAGATGAAATCAGATCACGGATTTTATGCACTGTACTGAATCGGACTTGGATCTTATGTTTGTCTTATTTGACAGACAACTATTACAGGTTATTGATAGACAGCCAGGCTTGTTTTACCATGTTTAGTTGTTTCTTTTTTCACACTATTGTTATGTAGGCCAGGCTTAGTCACAAACCGTACCTCTCCATAACAAAGGCTCACCCTCTTAATCCTCACCTTACCATATGAATAAAAAGTGTGCTGAACTTGGCCCTTCCCCCCTCTCCAACCATTATATATACGGAGTGGTAGCTCTTGCAATCTCTCATTTACTTGATACAGCTGTCGTGGCTGTGACGGTTCCACCTGAAGACGGAAGCTTGTGTTGCCTCCGAAACGTCGTGATTTTTATTTTATTTTACTTTTATTAATTTTAATGTTTTACCTACGTGACTTTACCAAAAAAACATAAGAATATGAATCCTTGCAGTCACGAAAGCTTCAAATCTAAAAACATAAAACAATCACCAAAACATGTCTATTGTGTCCAGCCACTTTCAACTCCCCACCAACCAAGCATATACACACCGCCCGCGAAGCGGGCGGCGACTGCTAGTAAATGAATTATTAGAACAAAGTGAATGCTTGGGAGCTTATTGGCTCTCGCTCCTGGTTAGAGATCTACCCAACCCACAGGTCCATAAAGACTGGCCGCTCTTACCCTGCAAGTTGAACCTAGGAATTGAGTGTTCAACTTATTTCTTGTCATTAAAGGTCTGTGACAAAAGGTGCATCTATTGGAGCAACATCGTCTCAAGCTTACACATCTCCCGGGTCTCCATTTGACTTTGTATTGTCTCGGAGGAAGTCCACCCACACCTCCACTTCCACAAACTGCTGGGAGTTGCCTCGCTCTGCCGCGCAGTCAGAAGTCTCCTCCTGCTTCACGTTGCCTCCATCGATGTGAAGGTCCGATTTTGGAGTTGTATCTTTATCTTCACATTTTACCTTCACTTCTTCACTCTTCATAATCACTTCTTCACTCTTCACCATCACTTCTTCACATTTCACCTCGATACCTTTAAAAGTGTCCAAGCTGGGATTTTCTTCCGGTTCTTGTTTGATGAGGGATGGGCTCATTGCGGCACTTTGACTTTCACAAGCTGATTTCAGACTCCACTCCTTGTGGATCTTCTGATGCTTGTGTGTTCTCTGGTGTCTTTGAAGATTTGGTGAAAGTGCAAACGACTTCCCGCACAGAGTGCAGCTGAAGGGTTTCTCTCCCGTGTGTGTTCTCTGGTGTGGTACAAGATTAGCTGAATGTGAAAATGCCTTCCCACACACACTGCACTTGAAGGGTTTCTCTCCCGTGTGTGTTGTCTGGTGTTTGTTAAGAGCAGATGACTGTGCAAACGCCTTCCCACACACACTGCACCTGAAGGGTTTCTCTCCCGTGTGTATTCTCTGGTGTGCTACAAGATTAGTTGACTGTGAAAATGCCTTCCCACACACACTGCACTTGAAGGGTTTCTCTCCCGTGTGTGTTCTCTGGTGTGCTACAAGAGTAGCTAACTGTGAAAATGCCTTCCCACACACACTGCACTTGAAGGGTTTCTCTCCCGTGTGTGTTCTCTGGTGTTTTACAAGAGTAGATGACTGTGCAAACGTTTTCCCACACACACTGCACTTGACGGGTTTCTCTGCTGTGTGAGTTCTCTGGTGCTGTGTCAAATGTTCAGTACGATCTGTGCTGTTGGCACGCAGGTCGCATTGTTGCCTTTTTGCACCGAGCCGCGCCGAGTGCCTTTGCTCCATCAGACCAATTCTGCAGAGGAAGCGACAGCTGCAGACAGAAAAATATATCCACAACATCTACACATCAGTATCAATGCATATATACAGTCACACGTGACTTACACGTCTATACTTATGCATATATTCATGATATAGTGAAAAAGTGTCCCAAATTTATCACACGGGCTGTTATCGCACACAATGAGAGGGCAAATGGTTATAAACATGCCTGGAAGCCCTAGTATCTTCAAAATGAATGTTAACCCAAAACTCCGAGCACACAATTTCGGCTGTCTGGCTACAAAAGGAATATTTATGAAAGCTAAATTCAGCTGACATAGCAAAGGATGTTGAAAATAATACTATTTGTGTTATGCACAAATGCATAAATTAATGTTCAATCGCAACTAAGAGGTGTGAAGCCAGGCACAGATGTCCTTGAATGCTGGGATGAAGTTCCGACTTCAGCTGCACATGTGCTGTGATAACTTCCTGACTCCAATCTTACAAAGACTTCCAGAGGAAAACAAAAATAAACTACCGTTTTGATATAACCTCCGTGCTCAATAGAATTAATAGACTTTACTGCAAATACAAACTTGAAACTGTCACACACTCAGGGGCGGAGCCAGTATTTTAAGGTCGGGAGGGGGGCAAACCCTCCAGCAATGAAAAATGATAGGAGTTAATAATAGGAGTTTTCCCCTTTTTTCTGGCAACAAAACTGAAACCTTATGAGGATTCATGTCTGTGTCGTGTTTTCTCCGGATACACTTTGTTAGGGGCACGTCTTTATTATACACACGCGCCCTAACTACTAAACATCAACTCCTCGTACAGTTTATCTCGAGTACTTACACTCGGTATATTATACGCCTCCTACGTAACATGCCTGCCCCGGCTGCGCTCCAGGTGCTCTGGCTATAATATCCTATGGGAGACCCAGGGTCCACCACTGGCCTCACAGAGCTTTGGCCCTTAAAAAGACGGCGAAGCTAGGGGTGCAGGGTCCTATTCTAGCAGGTCTTATTGCTTCAACTGGTCGTCTTCAACTGCCAGGACCTCTCCAGAGGTCCACCTTATATACGTTTCTCAGCCGAGGTGCGGACCTCCGTGAGAGACGTGGGTGACCCCAGAGTCCCTCACCGAGGTCTGCATGTCTGCCGGTTGCAGGCCAGTACGTCCGTAGCCCACCGGGCCGTTGGGAGTGTTTGCGAGGGATCGTAGGACCCCTCACAACCCACAACCGCTTCTGGGATGTCTGTCGTTGCCTGCAAGTGCAGCCCATCCATGGCACTACATTTGCATTAACCACAATACTTGCAGTCAAATGCAAACAAAAACACACTATGATAATATGTGTGAGCAGTATGCCTTTTGGCGTCCTCTGGTCGAGCACCAATTGGTGTCCTCTGGTCGAGCACCAATTGAGTCGAGGCTCAAAAAAAGCCGTCCCTTGGTGTGGACCAATCAGTTTCAAGAAGATGAATCCCTGCAGTCACAAAAGCTTTAAATCAAAATTTAATGCATATATTATCATAGTGTGTTTTGTTCGCATTTCACTGCAAGTATTGTGGTAAATGCAGACATGAATCCTTGTAAAAGACGTTGGTTCGATCTTGTTGGTTTTTGTCGTTAGGCTGTTAGTAGGATCCTACTAACAGCCTAACAACAAAGACCAACAAGATCATCAGTAGGATCCGACTAACAGCCTAACAACAAAGACCAACAAGATCATCACGAGTTCGACGTCCCTAATCGAACCAACCAAACGTCCCTCCTTAAAACCCTCGGCTGCAAGACCTCCCAGATTCTATGGTCTTCCCAAGATCCAGAAAGAAGGCTCCCCACTACGACCCATAGTGTCCATAATCAACTCTCCTACATACAAACTGGCCCGTTTTCTATCAGATACTCTGCTCCCCTTCACTGGCAAGACCTCGTCAGCAGTACTTAACTCAACCCAATTGGTCTCTATGGTCAAGGACATGGTACTGTCTCCTGACGATATCCTCGTCAGTTTTGATGTGGTATCTCTGTTTACCAAAGTCCCAGTTCCTGACACCTTAACAATAATCGAAGACTTGGTCCAACATGGACTGAACTCGGATGTACCTGCGCTGGTTAGGCATTGCCTCACCAACACTTACTTTACCTGGAATGGCACCTTCTACAAACAGAATGAGGGTACCCCCATGGGCTCCCCCTTGTCACCAGTGATAGCCAATGTGTTCATGGAAAAGTTTGAATCAGACGCCATCCAGACGTCCACCCTACGTCCTTTGGCCACGTGGCCTCCCAGCATTGAACCATTTCTTGGACCACATCAATTTCAGACACCCATCCATCAAATTCACCATGGAAGTGGAGAAAGATGGCAGACTACCATTCTTGGATGTTGTTTGAGAGGAGACCTGATGGATCTTTGGGACATTGTGTTTACAGGAAGGCCACCCATACAGATTCCTACTTGAAACCTGATTCCCACCACCATCCGACTCAAAAGAATTCTCTCATCAAAACACTATACCAGAGAGCTCATTGCATCTCTGACCAACACCACCTGGCCAGTGAACTGAAACATGTACATTTGGCCCTCAAGATGAACGGATACTCTGACCGCACTATCCGCCAAGCTGTTTCTCCCACCATACAGAGACAACCACTTGAAACTCCGATCAAAACTATCACATTGCCATACATAGCAGGCGTGACCAAACAGATCTCCAAAATTCTAAACAAACATAAGATCCAAGTCCGATTCAGTACAGTACATAAAATCCGGGATCTGATCCCATCCGTAAAGGATGTCATTCCGGACTAACAGTACCCCGGTGTTTACAAATTGAGTTGTACCTGCGGGGACTGCTATAATCGGGGAGACGAAACGACATATTTCAGACCAAATTCGCGAACACAAATCAGATTTGAAACATGGCAGAACAATTCTAGATTTGCAACGTTCGTGACTGCAAGGATTCATATTCTTAGGTTTTTTCGGTAAAGTCACGTAGGTAAAAAATTAAAATTAATAAATGTAAAATAAAATAAAAATAAAATAAAAATCACGACGTTTCGGAGGCAACACAAGCTTCCGTCTTCAGGTGGAACCGTCACAGCCCGACAGCTGTATCAAGTAAATGAGAGATTACAAGAGCTAAACCTGGTAAAACAAAACCAGGTTTAGCTTTCTACCAGGTTTAGCTTTCTTTTTTCACACTTTTGTTATGTAGGCTAGGTGTAGTCACAACCCGAACCTCTCCATAATAAAGGCTCAGTCTTTTGTTATGCAGTCTATTCATAGTCTCAAGCCGCACCTTACCATAATAATAAAAAGTGGGCCATTCCTGGCCCTTCCCCCCCCCCTCAACCATTATATATATACGGAGTGGAATCTCTTCTAATCTCTCATTTACTTGATACAACTGTCGGGCTGTGACGGTTCCACCTGAAGACGGAAGCTTGTGTTGCCTCCGAAACGTCGTGATTTTTATTTAATTTTTTATTTTATTTTACATTTATTAATTTTAATTTTTTACCTACGTGACTTTACCGAAAAAACCTAAGAATATGGCAGAACAAATTCTTCAGCCGTTGCCAATCATTGTTACAACGCTGTGGGTGATCATGATATCGTTTTCTTCGATACGAAGGTACTCTGCAAGCCGGCTGGATATCACCAAAGATTTGTCCATGAAGCCATACAGATATACAAACACAGACATAACTTTACCCGAGAAGATGGATTCAAATTGAGCAATCATTGGAAAGATGTGATTAACCATGTTAAACTTAAATCACCACTCCCCCCCGCTCTGCGTCCCTCCTCCACCATCCGTGACGCCGTCTTTTAGTTCCACCTTCACCTTCCTGGCTCCACCCACATCCCAACCCCCCTCCCCCATCCTACACTTCGTCCTCCCTCCAACGACTATTTAGACGCCGTTTTACTATTTTCACCTTCCTACAACGTTTTACTATTTTCACATTCCTGGCTCCACCCACACTGCAACCCCCCCCATCCTGCACCCGTCCCCCTTGGCTCCCCCCCCCTCCTCTTACCCTATATATTAAATGCCCCATTACAAATAACTCCCACTACAGTTATTTTGCTATGCCTTTTGACACCTGATGAAGGAGGCTTGTGTTGCATCCGAAGCATCGTGATTTTAATTGATTTATTTTCATTTATTATTATTTTACTTAATCTTTTACCTACGTGACTTTACCGAAAAAACCTAAGAGTATGAATCCTTGCAGTCACGAAAGCTTCAAATCTAGAAATAATGATAGTTGTTAGTAAGGCGTTGTTAGTAAAGAGTTATTAGTAAGGACTTGTCCCTTGCTTTTTATTAGACGCGTGTGATCGGCATCGCGCTCGCTGAAGGTGTTTGCCTTCAGGGAAGCCGTGTACTGTATACGCAACTGCGCACAATTCTGCGAGTCGCTTATAACTGCTTTGCCGTCACTTATTGCAAATCATGGACTTGGACTGTTGTCCTCTCAAGAATCCCTGGCACATAATAATATGCCACACGGTGGCGGTCGCAAAATGCTGATTTATCTATATATAAAAAAGGGAAGTTTGTGAATGTCTGTTCGAAATGTTTAGCATACTTCCCGACATTCAACAAATTTGAAATTTGGCATGTGGTTAGCTTCCAGACTGTACACAATGCTAAAAGTATAAACATAGACTTTTGTATTTTGAGGAGGGGGCGCAATACAGTAATCCCTCGCCACTTCACGGTTCAAGTTTCGCGGCCTCAGTGCATCGCGGATTTTTCAAAAATATTCATCGAAAAATTTCAATTAAAAAATACCGCCATATCGGCAGCCGTATTCCGGAAAGCAGCGTTGTTTCATCGTGATGCGCGAGAGAAACGGTTTCCCAGGATGCCAGACAAAGAGAGAAACTCTCTGAGGCTTTGTACATACCCACGGGCACTCAGACAAGGCACGTGATTGGTTCCCGGCGCGAGAGCGACGAATGAGAGCACGAGTGGATGTACAGTATCCCGTGAGCTGATTGGCTGCGCATCATCGTATCCTCTCCCAGCTTCTTCCCTTGTTGTATCTCGCCACTCTCGTTCACGCTGTCAACTGTGTCTCGCGTATCTTAGTGTTGTGTTCGAAATTAACTGGTGAGTGTAGAACACCATAATACGTATCGTATGAGAGAGAGAGAGTGAATGTATAATATTAAGGTTTTATAATTAAATAGATTTAAGTAAAATATATATATAAAGTATAAATATACATATTTTAAACATTCTGGTACCCACACACACATATACGGAAATTCCTAGGGGGGCCAATCCTACTTCGTGGATTTTCACCTATCACGAGGGGTTCCGGTCCCCATTAACCGCGATAAACGAGGGATCACTGTAATGCATTTATTTTGCACGCAAGTGAGCGGTGACATCACATCTGTCATCACATCTGTGATGTCACACCCGCATGCGGCAGCGTTACGCAGTGTGCTTGCTGACGTCACCCCCCCCCCCCAAACACTCCACGTAGGCACTGTTTTAATCCAAGACAAGAATCCAAGTCACGGGCGAAGCCGGGTAGTAAAGCTAGTCTATATATAAAAGGGAAATGTGTGGATACGTGTGTCTGTTCGAAATGTTTAGCATACTTCCCAACATGCAACACACTTGAAATTTGGCATGTGGGTAGGTTCCATACTGTACACAATGTAAAAACTATAAAAAATAGACTTGTATTTTGGGAGGGGGGGGGGGGGAGAAATGACCATGGAGTGTGTGGCGTCAACCCGCAACACACCTGAGTTAAGCGCTCTGCAACGCTTACCCCTACCATATGGCTCTTCGTGCGCCGTACTTCTAGAGCTGTTAACAGCGTGCCGGGAGATTTTAGGTGGCGCTTCGCTCCTGGCCGATGAAGCCATTGGCTTCTCGGAGTTTCAATACATATCCGTGTGAAGAACAGGTACAACTGCTATCTTAAATATGAAGCAGAAATTACATCTGTTTGTTTGTGTGAAGCACCAAAAACTCTCCAACGCTGAGCTCTAGCATCATTAAATTTGCACAACTTATGCTGTCTGGAATGTCTAAGTGAACGTGACTATTTTCAGCTTGCCACGTCATTCCCTTCCCGAGTTGCCAAAATCGACCTTACGTCGAAGTGGGTTAAGGTTAAATTTCCTTCAGTGAAAAACATCCGATTTAGTTAAATTGATTTCTTTCAGCTTTTTTCTTTCTTACAAGAATCAAATTCAGGGTTTTTCAGTGACATGGTTCACAGGTGGTGGCGTGTCCAGACCCATGCCTGGCTACCTTCATCCGCTCAGTATGAATGCTTCCTCACTCCACCAAGTAATTCATTGAGGATCAACCAACACAGCCGAGGCTGCATGTCTCTCTCCTCGTGGTGAGATGTTAACTACCTGTCGTGGCATACAGGAAGTCGTGGGTTCGATCCCAACCCTGACGCCTGCTGTATATTTGGAGCTTACGTGTCTCTCTCTCTCTCTCCCCGTGGTCGTGTGGATTTCCCTCCGGATCTCCCGGTTGTCCTCACTCCACATGCAGAGAGTGAACACCGCCACGCGTCCAGAGTGAACACCACCACGCGTCTAGAGTGAACACCGCCACGCGTCTAGAGTGAACACCGCCACGCGTCTAGAGTGAACACCGCCACGCGTCTAGAGTGAACACCGCCACGCGTCCAGAGTGAACACCGCCACGCGTCTAGAGTGAACACCGCCATGCGTCTAGAGTGAACACCGCCACGCGTCTAGAGTGAACACCGCCACGCGTCTAGAGTGAACACCGCCACGCGTCCAGAGTGAACACCGCCACGCGTCCAGAATGAACACCGCCACGCGTCCAGAGTGAACACCGCCACGCGTCCAGAGTGAACACCGCCACGCGTCCAGAGTGAACACCGCCACGCGTCTAGAGTGAACACCGCCACGCGTCTAGAGTGAACACCGCCACGCGTCCAGAGTGAACACCGCCACGCGTCCAGAGTGAACACCGCCACGCGTCCAGAGTGAACACCGCCACGCGTCCAGAGTGAACACCGCCACGCGTCCAGAGTGAACACCGCCACGCGTCTAGAGTGAACACCGCCACGCGTCTAGAGTGAACACCACCACGCGTCTAGAGTGAACACCGCCACGCATCTAGAGTGAACACCACCACGCGTCTAGAGTGAACACCACCACGTGTCTAGAGTGAACACCACCACGTGTATAGAGTGAACACCACCACGTGTCTAGAGTGAACACCGCCACGTGTATAGAGTGAACACCACCACGCGTCCAGAGTGAACACCACCACGTGTCTAGAGTGAACACCACCACGTGTATAGAGTGAACACCACCACGCGTCCAGAGTGAACACCACCACGTGTCTAGAGTGAACACCACCACGCGTCCAGAGTGAACACCACCACGCTGTTGACGAGCCTCACCTTGTTGTTGTCGTGGGCAGGTCACTTCTGAAAACAAGAGCGGTATAGCAGCTCAAGCGGGCTTGGCCTGGTAAAAATAAAAACTGTGTTAATATTTAAAGTAAAACAAAGTTACAAAGTGGCGAGCCGGGTCAAGACAAATTCAACTTAAGCGAGATAATTGAAGCAAACGCGATCAGGCGAGGGCAGGAGGCAAGGCCCCACGTTGATAAGTTCCAACCTGGACATCGCTTCCATGCTCGCTGCTACTCAATTAACATCCCTACGAGAGAGAGAGTGAGGCTCTACCTCAATAAACAACAACAACCACAACAACAACCACCACCACATCCACAACCACCACCACATCCACAACCACCACCACATCCACAACCACCACCACATCCACAACCACCACCACCGCAACAACCACCACCACAACCACCACCACACCGCAACCACCACCGCAACCACCACCGCAACCACCACCACCACAACCACCACCGCAACCACCACCACCACAACCAACGCCACAACCGCCACAACCACCGCAACCACCACCGCCGCAACCACCACCACAACAACAACAACCACCACCACCGCGATGATAATTTCTCACCTCGGATTTCAGTGCACGGGCGGAGCGGCAACTTCTTGTTCCCTCGCGACGTCACGCGGCAGCAGGTGACATGACGTCACTTGCGGGGTACGATGACACTCCCCTCCCACAATGAGCGGCTCTCAACTCGCGACGGCTTTCACGAATAAATTATGTTAATGAGCCACCACGTACCGGGCGTGGCTTTGCCCAAATAAGGATTGGCACTGGGACAGATATCGGCAGCGGCCGAGCAGAGATGACGTCACGCTCAAGAGCGCGGTGGTCGGGGGTGGGTGACATGACGTCACTAGCGAGGAACACCTCTCCCTGGCGTTTGACGGCGATGAGGTCACGCTGCGCGGTGACGTCAGAGAGCGGGGTCAGAGTTCAAGTTTGTTGACAGAAAGGGAGCGAGTTTCGACTTAGCCTCAAACGAGTACCCGGTGCGGTGTGTCAACATCGCCACTGGGGAGACAAAGGCGGCCGGGCGTGGTGCTGGCCACCCACCCCCTCGTGTGCCGTGACGACCTCCATCGGTGCTACTCGCTGTGAGCAGCACTTTGTAGATGTCGTTGCTTGGCTCTCCAGCACACCGCTGGCGACATTTCACGATGACATTTTTTGGAAAAATTCGTCCAATATTCCTAGTCTTCTTGGTTCTTTTGGTAAAGTCACGTAGAACGGAAATAATAAAATAATAAAAATAAAACAATAAAAATATTCTCACAACGTTTCGGCCACAACGCAAGCAGCCGTCAGGTGAAGAACAGGTCTGTCAGAAAGATTATTATTTCTTTCTACGTGACTTTACCGAAAGAACCAAGAAGACGAATCCCTGCAGTCACGAAAGCTTTAAATCGAAATCCAATTTCCTAGCTTTATTTTTCAACTAAAAGTGCATTTCTTGGTTGTGTTTAGCCTGAGTAGCCTATATATTACGTTGAAAAGTGTGGAATTTCATGCATGAAATTTAGAAGTAAAAAGAAAAAGTGAATTCCTCCATTTTGTTAAGCATTAGTATGCTCTATATTACATTAAAAGTGGGAAATTTCACGATTAAATGTTCACGTCCCAAACAGGAAATCGGCATACGAACCTCTGCCGTTTTTGGCTAAAATTTAACGAATTTTTACAGCTGTATTTTTTAACAAAAAGTGCATTCCTCGGTTGTGTTAAGCCTGAGTAGTCTATATATTACAATAAAAGTGAGAAATTTCACCATAAAATTTGATAATCACGGAGATAATCGTATTTATGTGAATGCTTGCGATTATGTTAATGTGTGCAGTTATGATAACTATGCTTAGTTTCGTTATCCAGAGTTGTATCAATCGGGATAACCGATTATCTTTGATTAAACATTTATTGATTATCTTAGTGTGTTTATGTTATGTTAGGTCTCCAAATTCATATCTCAACGCAGGTTACAGTTCTTATGAATAAGACAGTTTTGCATGGACTGGGAAAGAAGCACTCGAACACTTGGTGTTAAGCAATTTTAATTCTAAACAAAATATGACACTCTAAGATGCGACTCTCAGGTTCGGAATTATCGACGGTACCATTGGGGAGATTTCTCTCAGTGAGCAATACTCTTAACCATCAAGGCTTGCGTTGTTTCACTTTGGTAACCGTACATCTCACTGCCCTGACTCACGTGGCTTCTAAAAAATATTGTTGATGTAAAGACAGTGCATCTTCTAAGGGACAAGCGGTGACAATAGGATATCAAGAGTTAAATAAGGGAAGGTGGGACAAAGGGTGTTGGTAGATTCACAACGAGAATAAGAGAGCGGGAGGAACGAGGTCCGGGGCTGTTTTGGTGGAATATCGGGTCGTGGCTTGTTGCTGTCTCGTCGTTGTCGTTGCTAGATCGTGATTCCGGGGTCGTAAGCAGTGTTACAGGCTACATAAAATAACCCTCTACAGTCTACAGAGTCTGGAGTCATTAGAATTGTAACGATTCACAATCTCACGAGCTCATAGTGGGTTTGTTCAGTTATTTATATATTTCCATACTTGTATATTGCTATTCGATGCCATTGACATAGAGCGGGCAACTTGATTCTAATACGACCATGGTGTGATTCTAATAATTTTGGTCTTCTGATGCGTATTTTCAAATAATGTAGATTTGAGCAGTGTAATTCTGGTACGACAAAAATTTTAATCAGATCTTGATCCTGCACCTTCCGTTTCACAGATCCCACACTTGGTTCCCACGTCCATAGTACATACATACATATTACATACAGACATGTAACGTACTTACGAGCATAGTGTGATTCGCAGATGACCACGAAGTAATTCTAAATATTCGAATGTTATTCCAATATCACACTTCAATGTATGGTGTTCCAATCTATAACACTAGCTTATAATGCAATTTTTTGCATTATAATGTAGAGCTCATAGGTTTTATTGTTAGAGTTCACAACATTAGATTTTACTATAAAAGTAGTTTACAGTGGTATTGTTATAGCGTTACAATGTATAGCTACAACAGTTAAATTGTTAGAGTTTATAATGTTAGAGCTTACAGTGTGAGTTAATAATGTGAGAGTTTTTGGCCGTGCCCTGACCTCGTGGGACCCCACACGCATTTGGAAATAATTGCAATGACCATGAATGAGCTGAGATTTGAGCGACTAATGTTTACTTTGTTTCAACAAAACTGAGTGCAGGTTAGTGCCATCTGGGCTTAGCGAATACTACTCATGAATGAACTCATACTCCTTTATGAAAGACATTGTAATCTTGCATTTTCTTGACGAAATGTTATCTTCAATATCGCCCTCAAATATACGGCTAAAATACACAGCAGAGGGAAGGCTGCCTTGTTGGGGAGATGGAGTTTGGGTAAGGCGCTGTGACTGGAGTTAAACATTCGCTCCTTGGCCCCGTCGACAGCAGCGGAGACGATCCGATCCACTGCGCTCCATCTCCCCACATGGTCCACAAAATTATCGGTTTTTTTAATGAACGTATGTTTTTCAAATCATATGAAATGTAATTATGTTATAATGTGATTGTTATACACTTTATCTGTTTACATACCGTATATAGCTATTCGGTTAAATTAACATGACATTCATCCAACAGTGGACTGTTTGATTCTAATGCGACTACAGTGGGATTTTAATCATTGTAATGAGATTCAAATCTTGCAAATCCTACCTCCGGTTCGCATTCACTTTACATGCATATGGCCACAGTGTGATTCTAACATTATCACAGTGCGATTATAATTATTATTATGCGATTATAATCACGAACCTCCGTTTATTTTGTTCAAAACTAATAATACCGTACCTATGTTTTTGGTGTTATAAATGATGAAACTAGTTAATAGATTATTGTATTTTAATTATTTTTGTTATCGTTGATAGTGTTACAGTTCACACGTCATACTTGATGATTAGAGACCGTAACGTTGCGAATACATTTATAATGGGGACCTTTCCCCTCCAGGGACACATGTTAGTGGAGAGACAGCCAAGATGCTGCCGGTTAAGGGCAGATTTGTGTGACGAAGATCCTCCACCTAATACTCGCTTAAA